AAGAACACCAAATACACCAAAAATCCGGATAAGAATATTTATTTCCCCTAAAGACTTTTTGAGTTATACATTTATTCACAAGAATTTCGTTATGTAGTGGTGGAAATTAGCGTTACTTTTCAAACAAAGAAAACTATTTGAGCGGGCGTCCCCACGCTTGTTTTTGCCGGCAGAGAAACTCAACCAATCAGAGACGCGTAGCAGGCACACGTGATGTAAGATTTGCATATTTCCCGGGGAAAATGTGTATTTTTATATGTGTTTCTTTTAATACCGTCCAGGTCATACTCACAGTTACGTTCATGTTAACGTATTAACCTATATTTATATAACGTTAACAAAATTATCTATAAAGGAACTTGATTTGTGTTGAACAGTGACTTCGTTTTTGTATGCCCAAAATGATAAAGAAAGCATGCTTATAATTACTTTGGATAAAGCAGCTACATGCACCCGCGGATCCAGAGGGGGGCGCATCCGGCGTTCGCCAGCCAGCCGCCGATCTCAGTGGAACCACGGCCGAAAATAAATACCCCCGTAAGAGTAAAAACAACTCTAAGAGGGTTGGTAAGATTTAAAATGGTCTGCACGCCGTGAACGTTCTTTTTCGTCGTAACGTAACACGAATATAACATGGTAGTTGTGCCTCAACTGATGATGGCCAGTTCTAATGCACTTTCGGCTCTAGTTAACACAGAAATCTTTAACAAAGATTATATCCATGTAATGCATGCCGTTACAAAGGTTCAGTTGACAGAAATCTTTTCATTTCGTATCACGAAATCTCTTTAAATCCTAAGAAATGCTACAGGAAAATTAATTTGGAGCGGGACTATACCAGCCAGCGGTACGAAGTGAAAATGCGGGGTTTGCTACAATATTTGGGCCTTTGAAATCTTTTGCCGCCCGCCCGGTGGGCGGGGCCATGCCTGTGCTGAGGGCGTGACGCCGCTCTGTCTGATCAGGACGTGCCGACTCGTCTTGGCAACACGTGGGAACGTCCCAGCGACGAGAAGCTTTCCACCTTTGATTTTGTGACATAAGCAGTAGTTTACGAGATATTTTTAAAAAACCTTTTCGCTCGTTCCCGTTCAGAATAGTAAGCCCCAGTAGCCCCTCGTTCTTGTTTTGGTTTGCATCAAATTTTAAATTCGGAAGCACAGGCTCACTCCTCCGCAATCGAATTTTTTATAAACTAGCTACGCCGAGCTAACTTTTCCGTGGTCCGGCCAGGTTACAGCAGGCAAGGTGGCCCCATTCAATGTGTGTCTTCCGCTGACACCCGGCGCTCCAGAATTTAGTATTGTCCTAAAAATTTTGTGAACTCTTGAAAATGGTAAACACGTGCGCGGCGCTCCGTCGCCACGGCCGGTACTTCACATGTTGTCACATTAGTGTTATCCGGTAGTGTATTTGAGTGCTGCGATGTTGTGACCGCGCGTTCCCCGCGATCGGAAAATGATTTAAGTGATCCGGTCTATAAAGAGGCGGCATTTCCTTTTGTATTTGGTTCTTTTTTTTCGCTAACTTAGATGCATCGCGAACTCTTTATTTGCCCCGTTCCGTGAAATTTAGTCGTCCAAAACATAGATGCATTTTCAATATTCTATTTTCTCAGTCGTAAAATGTACCGACAGGCACATGAATGTACTGAAAACATCAGTATTACTTCGTTGGTTAGTTGCTCAGAAATGACTCTAAAATACACAAGAGAGAAAAATAGCGTTATAGCCGGCTGCTAAGTAAACAAACATGGCGTCTGGCCGGGTCGATTCCGCCGATTCATAGTGATTTCTTATTCCCAACGTCATATAACAAAGTCATATACGACTTATTTCATGCCAGAATGTAGCAACTTGCGGTACCTGCATCAAAGACCTCTTCATTTCGGTAAATTTCACTTCTGTACGGCGATCGCGTTAAACAAGACATTTCGTAGTCGGCAATGTAAACAAACATGGCGACTGGTCGGCTCGCCTCCGCGATCGCCAATTCATAACGATTTCTTGTTCCCGCGGCGATATACACGTTACTTCATGTCAAAATACAGCAATTCGGTATGTCATCTCATCATATCAGGGTGTATTCCGGTAGATTTTAGCCTCCTATATGTGTTTTCCGGTGTTTTCCGGTGTTTAACTCTGTTTTCCGGTGTATTCCGGTAAATAGGCAGACCCGTATCTGAGCAGAATTTCTTTCAGCCCCCACCCCCATACATAATTTGGAATCTCACTTCTCAGTGTGACGATCTAGGACAATTTTAGCATCACAGATCATGTTTTTTCAGACACAGCTGTGTCTGAAAAAACTACGTACTAGTAGTCTGATGAATGAGGTTAAAAAAATTCTAGATCTAAATCCTTGGTCTGAGAAACACAAATACAAAATTGATGTTTGTCAATTGATACAAAGAAATTCTCAATATGTAAGCAAACGTTGTGAAATTTTTTTACATGTTTTTCATCAGTTATGATTTGAGTATATGATATTTATATTGTGCAATGTACCTACATGCACTAGAAGTACCAACATCTTTCCTTGTTTAGCTTTTTCATTGACCATATCAACAAGAAGACAAGCTGGACAGACCCGCGCACCACCATGCAGGTGCCGCAGCCGCAGCCAGCTGCACCCAGGTCACCTGCCAGGGTAGGTACAGCTGCAGCACCTGCAGAATCAATGGCTGAAACAGCACAGCCCATTGTAAATGATTAAATCATAATGATCAGAAGTCAGGAGTTTTCCTTCCAACATCCTGTTTTTCATAATGGCTTCTTGCAGAAATTTTACATAAAAATGTCAGAGAACCAGCTAATGATTAGTTGACTTGTGCAAAATTTGCTGTTATTTGCCGTCTACAAGTCGTATGCTCGTATGCTCGATTGCTCATAAACTATTCGTAATTGTCATTCTAACAGAGCCCCCGCCAAGAAAACATCCAGATGACTCATGTTGCTAAACCCAAGTGTAAGACATGCCATATTAAGGAGGTAAGTCTTGTTTGTTAAATTGTTTGGTTGTTTGTTTGCCATGTTGTAAGGTCTGGTACGTCAGTTTTGCTGTGCCATTGAAAATGATAAAATAAGCACATTTTATGGCTGCATATCCTATACAAAAATAGTTTTTCTGAGATGTCATGCCTTCTATTGCAAGCACATGATGTCTTCTTTATGCAATGAAAAAAATAGAAGCGATAGGTCGATATTTATGGCATTCATAACTGCAATCAGCTACTATGTGCAAGAGGCCCACTCTCGCCGACATTGGCTGACTGCAAAATAATGTAATGTCAGGTAAAGTTTATTACGTTAAAGGCACACAATTTCCTGTAATGGACAGGTCCAGTATCCAGGGTGGGAATGTTGGAACTGCCAACAGAACAGACGTTCACAACAACAACAACAACAACAACAACAACAATTAAGAGAACAGGAACAGGTTAGTATAGTATTGTGTTCGATTGTATGTGTTCAGGATCATTGTGCAAATGATTGTTGATTATTTGACTCTTGAAGGTTTTTGTTCTGTTGCATGTGAATGAGCTATGTGTTCATGCATACATGTACTGTTAGATGTAGCAATCATGTTATATACATGTACTAAGCAAGGACATTAATGTCCTTGTACTAAGTAATATCAAAACAACTGGAACTGAAATTAGATTGTGAAGAGTTAACAATACAATGGTATACATGTGGTTACACATTTTTGTCATAAAACTGTTAACTCTAGGAGGATGCCACCAGTACACTCAATGACTAAATACAGGGGGATTATTTTTCAAAGTTTGCTTGTTAAGTTTGAAGGGCTGTTGACATGTCCGTAGGAGGAAGACTTGCCTCCCCGTCCCCGTACTGCTGCCGGCAGGGAGCTCCATAACCTGCTACAGGAGGGTATTATGGCTGTAAGGCTCTGCTGTGATGGGTGCAGACCTTTTGCTGTGTACTCTCCTTGTAAAGCTGTTCTAGCTTACTTCTCTTATCTAAAATTAGGAATATCCGTAATGCTGTTTAACACATCTAACACAAGAGAATATTCCATTCAAATTCTTTGTTTTTAATATTTTATGTACTGTGGTTTTCCTAAATCTTACATAGAAAACCAGTTACAAATGTGCTGCATCAATATCTTTGACATTCCCAACAAGTTTCTATCTTTAGATCTAACTTACTAAGTTTGCTTAGTGTGGAGTAAGACAGTAATTTTATTTTTCAGTAAGACAAGTAGTCTGTGTCATTTGATGGAAAATGTATGGTCAATTGTTCAGTGTGACTGGATATGTTGACCATAACAGTACTAAGCCCCTCTCTGCTGAAATTATTGCACTCTGTGGAGAAGAAATGTTTAAGCCCCTCTCTGCTGAAATTTTTGCAATCTGTGGAGAACAAATGATGCGCATCATCTGGATCCCAATAGCAGATCATATACCAAGACCCAAAGAAATCCGTCCAGCCCACCGTGAGTTACAGCTGCAAACACACTAGCAACAGAACCCTTCCTTGGACGGATGTCTCCTTCCCCGGAGGTAATAATGTGTACTTCTCTGCAGGATACATCCTTTACCATTGACACCGCTGCCCTAAACAGACTGTGTCATGCCTACCCTGCTGCCAAGAGAGATATCATCAGTACAACACTGGAGCTGTAAGTTTGTTTCTAACCATTTCAAAAATAAGGACATGTGCGTGGAATGAGATTCATTGACTTAGAAGATATAAATGTATAATGTTGTCACATTCACTGCTACATTTAAATATGGGAGGTAGCTTTGGAAAGGTTGGCTATTCACATGTGAACAAATTTTAGAGGAATGTATTTTCTACTATTCTAGGCACAGTTTTTAAACAAAACAGTATTGGTATGTGCTAACTATGACTTCTACCGTCATGGTCACCAGTCTGATGAACGATGAGCGAGAGACAGCGGACACTCTGGAGCAGATGGGGTACAGGAAGCGAGGTGCCACCCCAAAGGCTTCCCCAACAAAGACAACCCCCAAGAAACCCTCTCCTAAGAAGACTACCACAGTACCCAAGCCACCGGCGCAACCTGCACATCCTCCACAACTTACCGAGGCCCAGAAAAATAGAGGTAAATGCTTCTTTTTGTTGTTTGTCCGTCTTTTCTTTTCCATCTGTTGCATACACAAAAAATGTACCAGGCAATGTACTGTACATTTGACTGTAGCAATAGCCCAGTGCTTACTTTACATTCACACAGATTCAGCCCTCAGCCAGGTTACACCAAGTACAGTTGATTACCCGGTATATATAGAGAGAAATAGAGATGGGCACTGCCATATACACAAAAAAGTATGGGAATGATTTTATCATAACTAATAACTGTGGTCTAAACGTAGAGTTTTCCTTTTCCACAGTGAGGTCGGAGGTCAAGGCCCTGTATCCCAACATGCCTCACACGGTGGTCCAGATGGCGCTGGAGTCAGCTGACTATGATAAGGAGAAAGTCGTGCAGCTGCTGAAGTTCATGCAGGACGACCAACAGCCTGCTGCTTCTACTAGTTCCAGATCTTCACATGTCACTGAGCCAACAGGTGGGGATACAAAAGGCATCCAATGCGGCAAAATGGGATTTTCAAAGCCAATTTTTTTGTCATTCTTTTGATGTACTAAGTTGAATCAATCCTATCCCTGGACAGCATACTGATAACGTTGAGGCAAAAATGCGATGTCGCTGACGGAAAACGTTTGCTTGTTTTGTATTGTAGGTTAGCTCTAGCTATAATTTATGGGTGGTACCCCAAAAATTAAGAGACTGTTTGACTGTTTTGACTGTGATTTCTGTCAGGATCCATGGCACTTCGGGTATTTGTTCTTGTTGCTTCTGAAAAAAAAGTACATGTATATACAATGTATGTAAACCTATCCTGTGTTGTGCCCCCAGCCGGCCCAGCGCGGACCACCTCTCCTGCCAGGTTTGACAGCAGTAGCGGCTCCCAGCCCGTGGAGTTCTCCAGCTCACTGCAAGCTCCCGTGTTTGGGGACGACACCGCCGGGCACCGCGCCCAGCGCGCCAGGAGTCCCAAGTCTGGCTCACGCGGACCCTCTGTGGGGAAAACAGCACAGAAGAGTCCGATCAAGACTATGATTGGTAGTTCCAGGTAAGTATAGATACTGGTATCCATAAAATAGTACCATTTTTCCACTCATCTAACACCATTGTTCAGTCAGTACTTAAGCCTTCTATCGCAACTCATTCTTCACAAACCTCTGGAAACGTCTGTATATATAGGATTTGATTCATGTGTGTTTTGTATGTATTTCGGTTTTGTTCCTGTACTAAATATGGCCAGTGAGAGCCTGAAACAAATAAATAAGTGAAGAAAACTTCATTTCAGCTCTTGTTTAACCCTCGGAGCAAATCATCTAAATGTCCATTAGAAGTGGGGAAACACATTACAGAGAAAACAAGATTTTTTGTTTAATGTCCTCAAAGCTTGTTCTTACTTTCTTGCAGCTCTGTACAGTCCAGGATCAAAACTTCTTCAAAGACTACCACTCGTGCCACAACCACAGCTAGAACTAAACCCTCAAGGTAGTACAGTATTTCATATGGCACAACTCTCTTCAATTGTCACAAAATGCATTATAATGAAGAAAATAGAAATTCCTACTTCATCCATAGAAATGTATATGTAGAATCATTTCCATAAAAGTTGCTAGAAATTTCTGAAGTAAAACATTTACTGCACTTAATTGCCAAAAAAATGTGTGTAGATAAGAAGTTGAGTAAATTAAGATGATTCTGGAAATTTTGGGTCCTCTCTTTTGCCAACAGTGCAGGCTATGTGTCCCCCCTACGGAACAAGCCGAATGGTCCGGACCATTCTCTGCTCAATGGACCTAACCGTGAACTGCTCATGTGAGTTTCTTACATTTATAAAGATTTAACATTTTGGGTAATCATTGTGGATAGTGTTTTAAAAACTTTTACACATTGACATTTCGAATGTAACAGGAGAACCGTGTATATTTATTGTAAACGTGTCTGTTAGCCAGGTAATACTGGTTACATCAACTACAATCAGATAAGGTCATATTTTTGTGTCATGACCTCTTTAAAATAGAATATCTATCCTTCTGAACACTGTTGTCCCTATACAGGAAGGATTATGTGGAGCAGCATGGCCCTAACCCTGAGTACGTGAAGGGGCCAGCCCTCAGGGAGGGGGCAAAACCACACCTTGCCAAGGGGCCAAACCCTGAGCTCATCCAAGGCCCCGCTCACTTCAACTGAACATCACTGCAGCCTGCACAGACAGAACAACAACAACAAGAATGCTCTCAAAGTCAGTTACGTACATTTCAAACCAAAACAAACATAAACTTACCTTCAGGTACTACTGCTATTGTTGTTGTTGACGTGTATTTAGCATTCAAGTAAGATGTGTATATTCTTCTCAGGACATTTTTTTCTCTGCGAGCACTTTTTTGTGTGCCTTTTTTCATGCACTTTGTTGTTTCCACATGATTGCATGTATGATTCATGACAATTAGCCAAGACCAGACACATAACCAGTAGGTATATATCAGTGTACTCAATAGATATGATGTTGATCTATAATACTATTTGTAAATGTGGATTGAGATATTGAATTGTAAGGTACAATGATATAGTTATTATGTGATTAAGGTTGTCTTTTAGACAGCTGAATTGTGTATCTTGTGGAACTGAATGTACAGTAAGTGTCTCACTGGAATATTTGCTTATACACTAGGGTAAACAATGTTGTGTCTTATGGCCTGTTGTGTCCATAACACAGTACATGTATATGACTAGCTAGGTACATATACCTTGCCAGTTTTACATGAAGACACATTTGCATTTGCTTTTTTATATGTACATAATTGTTGTATTGTTGTACTCCTAGGAAATGAGTATGGGAAATGTTTTCTCTGTTAGAAAGTTATGGAAAGAGGGGAAGAAGGAAAGAGGACATGACGCAAAATTGTTTTTAAAAACAAGTGACCAAGGATGGTTTGTGTAAGGTAAAGTTTGTATTGAACAACTGGTACCTTCAGGTCCATTGTAAAGTGTGAGATGCTATTCCAGATGAGACTGGGTTTTGCATGATGTGATAATGTGTATATAAGATTCTCAATGATAATTAAGAACATGGAGAGAGGGAATGAGTGTAGCTAACTTCATTCATCAGAACACAGTACCTTTTTGATACATGTAGTGTTTAATCAAAAATGTCTTAGGTAATAATCCCCTGGGCCTCAACAAGGGTAACAATGCCGTTGTTAAGGACCCCTTATATTTTGATGATTTTCAGGACCCTCTAGTGATAATTCATTGAAATTTAACCCAAGGAATTATTTCTTTTAGATATCCCTTAGGTAGGTAGTAATTCCCTTGAACTATAATTCCTTTTATACTGACATGCTCTCTGTTTCCTGGGAGTTAACCCAGGGTAATAATTCCTTTGTTACGAATTTCTTAGGTAATAATTCCCTGGGACTTTTGGTTAAGAACCGTTTAGGTAATAATTCCTTGGGACTCCACCTAGGGTAATAATGCCTACTTTTAGGACCCTGCAATTGTAATAATCATCTGGGACTTGATTAGGGTTATGATACCTTGTGATCAAGCTGTTTTTGTTGTTGGGATCCCTTCCGTTTTAATTTCCTAGGTCATACCCATGGTAATGATTCCATTGTTCACCTGTACTACAGGTGATAATTCCATGAGTCATACCCAGGGTAATAAAATTCAGGTGATAATTCCCTGGGCCATACCCAGGGTAATTATTCCTTTGCTAAGTACACCTCTAGGTAATAATTCCCTGGACCCAGGGTGATAATTCCTTTGTTAAATACAGCTCTAGGTAATAATTCCCTGGGACTGACCCAGGGTGATAATTCCTTTGTAAAATACACCTCTAGGTAATAATTCCCTGAGACTGGCCCAGGGTGATAATTCCTTTGTTAAATTCAGCTTTAGGTAATAATTCCCTGAGACTGGCCCAGGGTGATAATTCCTTTGTAAAATACACCTCTAGGTAATAATTCCCTGAGACTGGCCCAGGGTGATAATTCCTTTGTTAAATTCAGCTTTAGGTAATAATTCCCTGAGACTGGCCCAGGGTAATAATTCCTTTGCTAAGCACACCTTTAGGTGATAATTCTCTGGGTCATACCCAGGGTGATAATTCCTTTGTTTGGGACTGACCCAGGGTAATAATTCCTTCTAGGTAATAATTCCCTGGGTCATACCGGGGGTGATAATTCCTTTGTCAAGTACACCATTAGGTAATGATTCCCTTGGTGATAATACCTTTGTTAAATACACCTCCAGGTAATAATTCCCTGGGACTGACCCAGGGTAATAATTCCTTTGTTTGGGGCACATTTGATTTAGGTGATAATTTCTTAGTTCCATCTAGGGTAATAATTCCTTTGCTAAGGACCACTGAGGTATCAATTCCCTGAGACTCACCCAGGATGATACCCTTTAGGTGATGGACCCATTTAGGGTAATCATACCTATGTCCCTGACCCAAGGTGCTATATACACCTCTAGGTAATAATCCCCTGGACCAATCCAGGGTAATAATTCCTTTGTTGAAGACCACTTGGGTAATACTGGTAGGTTGTATTTTCTTTGAGAACCAGAGGTGATAATTCCTTTATCAAAATAAGCTTTCTATGTATTTCCACCGTAGGTAATAATCCTGTGGTTGGTAATTATCATTTCTGGGTGATATTATTCCTTTGATAAGGACTCGTAGATGATTCCTTTGACAAAGATCCAGAGGTAATAATTCCTTTGATAATGACTCAGGGGTAATAATTCCTTTAATATGAACCCAGAGATGATAATGCATTTGATAAGGACCAATAGGTAATAATTCCTTTGAAAACCCAGAGGTGATAATGCCTTTGATAAGAACTCAGAGGTAATAATTCCTTTCATAATGACTTATAGGTAATAATTCCTTTCATAATGGCCAATAGGTAATAAATAATTCCTTTGCAGACCCAGAGGTGATAATGCTTTGATAAGGGTCCATCTTCCTTTTGTAAGAACACAGGTGATAATTCCTTTATCTAGGTAATAATTCCATTGTTCTGAATATAATCCAAATTGGAAGGTGATAATTCCTTGGTTGGGACAGAGGGTTTTTACCTCTGCACCCATGTAACAGTTCTTACTGCAGATTTCATATTCCTGTGTCATACCAGATATTTAAATCTTAGTTGAAATAGAAATTTAAAGTCCACCAAGGCATATGATACTTTCTTCATCATATCTGCTGTTTGTTCTAGCACTAAAAGATTTCTTGTGTTACCATATTTGTCTGTTACATGTGCATATAAGTTATGTTTTTTAATATTTGTATGACTTTATGTTGTGGACAAACAATACCCTGTGCATTAATGTTCATATATTTAAACCACTCTTTTCCAAGATTTTCTGTGTAACAACATTTCTTTTTTTATACTCACATGGACGTACAACCTGAGACTTCTTTTAAACATAAATGAAGACATTTTTTTTAATCAGGACAATATCCAGTTGATAGTATCATACTCATAATGTGTGTAATCGGCAGCACATTTAAAGATAAATGCATTTTCAGGTTGATTAAAGAATCTTTCCCCTCCAAAGGTATTACTGTCTTCACTATCACTACAAAGAAGTAATTTTCTGCATTCTATGAATTTCTGTTGTTGGCCACTTAACTTATCCTCTTTCTTTGCCATGCGAACAAATTTCGGTAGCTGTTGATTTTAAAGTTACTATGATTTTGGCTGATCCCCCAACATATATATGAATCAGTCATGTAAATAAGTCTAGCCCTGCCCTAGGGAGAAAGCTGACACCGGAGCGAAGCGTCATAACGTTACACTATTGCAATATTTATGAGTGCATTCTGCATTCATAAGGCGGCAAAAACTCATGGTTACGGACTTGGAATTGCCATTCTGAAATGTCAGTCGGCTTTTTGAGCTACGAAGAATGTTTGTGAAATTAATCCAATCAAACTTTAATGCACAACAATTGTAACCGGTAAAATGTATGGAAAGTTCTTCAGAGGTACTACATATCAAACTGGTATCTACTATAACGTCTACTTAGCTACAGTAATGCTTACGAATTCTATGTATCAAGACTAACAGTACACTATTTCATATAGCCTATATAGGTGATGCAACAATGTACATGGAACATGGCTTGCATGATAATGCACAGGTGGTCTATATCTCTACAGACATGACACTACGCTATTATGAGTAATTAATCAAAACGAAGGAAATATGACCTTTTAGTCCTATGAGACATGTCGAAGGTCGTTTGAAAATACTCAGGTCAGCTTTCATTTCCAGCATGGGATATTTCTAAGAAGGGCTATTTTGTGACATCTTATTTTTCGATTCCTCTTTGAAAAAAAAGCTCTTTGCGGTCTCTGCCTAAATCGATGTTACTAAATCATATTGATTTAAACATGTGTTAAACTTAAAAGCTCCATTGACTAAAACCGGCTCCAAAGGAGTTCAAATTATTAGAAAGGGAAAGTTATTAATCCAACGCACAATGTACGTACACAAATTATGTAGTCTACGGCTGTCCTCAGGCGATCCGCCGCGCTCGGCAGACTGTTGTCTTTCAAACCATAGGTTAATCGCAAGGGCGCAGTCGTAACTCGTAAATGCCAGTAATTCATTGATTGGTTGGTATGTTGGATAGTTAATAATCATGGAGCCGTGAAAAATGAAGTTGTTCATTTGACAACCAATGACAATGAAGAACTGTTCCTTAAAGAAGGAAAGTTCTGCCTAAATAGACTATTTCTTGTCACACATCGCTGAATATGTTACAATGGGACAGAAACTATCCAGTGCTTTTGAAGGACACATGATCTTTGCGTGTTAGATGTCACCGCTCACATCGTGCACTCATGACCCGTCCTCTGTTCATCTTTGTGACCTGTGTGACTCTCAGTCGCTCACTGCTGGTCGTCTTACCGGTTCTACTTAATGTGCCACCCCGGGGCTCCCGTTTATAGGACGTTTAGATGAGACAAGATATAAGGTTGTTTTTCTGTGGTGTGAGTTATCAAGCGCCATGTTAGATTAACGATGAGCTACACCAGCAATTATCACAAACCCGGGCTGGCGTCGACGCTGGGCAGTTTCTTCAGCTTCGGCCAGTCAGGGTCGCGGTCACAGTCGCTGTCGTCCCGATGGGCCGGGTCCAGCTTCGTCCGGTCCTCCCAGGAAAGGAGAAGCTTCTCGGGGTCGACTCGTGCTTCTTCCCGGGCGTCCTACTCCGCGCAGACGGGCTACACGTCCCCGACCAGCCCGCCGCCAGTCAGCCGGGCGTACGGAGCCGACACGGGCCGGACCCGCCTGCTGGTGAGAACCTCCAGCCGCCCCCTCTCTCCGCCGCTCCAGCGGGGAGTACTCGTCCTCCCACCGGCAGGAGAAACCGCTGGCGTTCGTCCAGATCGAAACCAGTGGCCATGCGGCTGACGGGGGGCTGGAAAAAGTGGACATGGACGAGGTTTTCGGGAACAAGATCCCCCTATCACCGCCTACCCTCTCCCCCGTTCTTCTGTCGCCTAAAGCCGAAACTCGGCACTCTGTCAGAGCTAACGTTAGCAGCACAGTTGTATCTCAGGTGTCGTCTGACGTCCTGTCCCCCCGTGCCTTGTCCCCGGTGTCACCTCGAGCCCTGTCCCCGGTGTCCCCCCGTGCCCTGTCCCCGGTTTCCTCCCGTGCCCTCTCCCCGGTGCCATCCGGATCCCGTGCCCTGTCCCCAGTGTCGTCCCGCGCTCTCTCCCCGGTACAGTCCAACCTGACGTCCGTCAGCGCCAGTGAAGTTCAGGTGGACGTCGATGCTTATATTCGACGCACAGAGCAGTTGGAAAGAGACTTGGACCTGTTCAAAAACAGGTAGGGAAGACCACTTCAATTCACAAAAATATGTTAAAACGCTAGCTGCACAACTTACGGTACCTAAAATGTGAAGGTCGTCTTTCATTATTTTTAACCTCTGTCGACAATTATGGGTATCAGTTACAAATAATCTATAATTATTGTTTCAAAATAAATGGAAGGGTAGAACACAGGATAGAAAATATCGGAGTGTCCTACACGACAAACCGTTATCAAAGTTGTAACGCAAAGAGAAAGCATTTTGAATGCAGCTGAAAATGTAAAGTGGTAATAATTAAAATGTTAATATTATCACAACAGCAAGTATATTGGAAGTAGCATTAGTTGAGGATTCTCCTTTCTATTGTTTACTATTACTTTATAATTTAGAATGTTCTTGCAATTAGTCATCGGACATGAATTTGCAAGAAAGTTTGATTTTTTAAAGTCTGATTATTACCCTAATCTAAATCCGTTTTTAAAATAAAACTATTGTTACTCGTACGCGTATGGTGCACCCCACAGTTATTACAAACCTGTTAGCAAAGCTATATGTACACTGGGGATTTGTAAATATAGGAAACGCCTCAAAAGCTGAAAGCCGTACAGGAAGCCACAATTTGCCGGCTCGTTGGGAACATAATCACTACACAACAGGGGAGGGACGCAATTATCCGATCTCGATGGGCGATAAGCACCATACACCGACGCCAATAACGTGACTTTTGTCATTTGTCGGCAGTGTGAAATTATTAATGTAATTCCTCTGTGGTTCTTTCAAAGTTAACATGGATCTTTTTTTTTACTTTAGTCAAGAATGTTATGTGTTTGTGGTTAGCACAACTCGACAGGTTATGGCTGGAACTTGATGATTTGGTGTCGACAAAACGAAGGGCAAATTTGATAGTGGACATCTTTCTGTCTGTCTGTCGTCGTACTGTAGCAGAACTTCCGTTTTTTGTATCTCATTATGCATGTTTTGACAAGATGGGGATTTCATCTTTGTGACATATTATTTTAGGTCGAGGTTGACATCGCCATACAAGTATAATGCAAATTAGGGCATACTTTTCATAGATAATGAGACAACAATAATTGTTTAGCTAAGGTATGAGATCGTGGAGATCCAGTTTGTTATTCTATCATTGCTTTTGTCCATGTGATTTCGACTGACAAATTTGTAGATTAAATAGACGCCTGGAGCTGTAGTGAGGGAGTGACCCTGGGTACAGTTTGGGGCACAGCGACCTTGACAATAACCAAGTGGCTACACCGGTCTTTTGCAGAACTCATGATCAACAAAAGGAAGACACTCTTGGATATACCAAATGTTTGAATGTTAACAGGCTCTTTAAAGACACGTGGGCTTTATCTAAAAGGAAATTTGACACAAAAACTATTCAAAAGGTAACTACTGGATGGTTGTGTCAATATTAGTTACCGCGGCCAGTTGTAAAGGGGGGGGGGGCTTGGACGGGTCAGCGCACTTTCAGCATATACCCTGAGGGGTTGTGTGGCCCAAAGAATATCTTTTGATCCCTTGCCACGTCACAAGCCGCGAGACAAGCATGAAATGTCGTAAACACACCTGGTTCTATAGAAATCGTCCTTCACACATATCTTGCCTGAGGCACCGCATGTGTCACAAGCACGTGTGTTGATGCATATGAACACTATTATATAAAGTGACATAAAGCTTTGAACTTCAGAGTAATTCCAAGACGCAAATTTCCTCAAGTACAGTCAACTGCATTTTTGTAGCCTATCGCACGGGGGCTCCGCGCGATACATTCTCAAATGTATACATTTTTAAATGTAAAGATAGATATCAAAATATCTATCTTTGATTAACTTGAATCACAGACTTTTTGTTGTGAGTAAATGTTCTGGAAACGGACATATGGTTACCGTGCACTGTACTGACCAGGGGGAAGCTTCAATAGTTTATGACCACAGTCCTTTCCGCGGATGCAGAGGGTCTAAGATATTCAACAACATCGAACAAAAATACCGTATACCGATCTTGTAAAACGTTAACGGCGAACCAACAAGTCTAACGTTCTGTTTTGCGCTCCCAGGTATGAAAAAGAGGCCAGCATCAGGAAAGACCTAGAGAACCATCTTTCAGAGGCTAGAGAGGTCAGTAACTAAACTTAAGTAATTACGTAACAATATAACGGACAAAAAAAACAAGATGATTTGCTACTCCAAGTATAGCTTTCACATTTTTCAGTATATTCAAACTCGCGTTTACTTATAAACCATCATCAATTTCATCGAGTTGCTATTTGTATAATTTTTCAGTCTGAACAAGGACATTATACTATTGTACAATGTCCTTGGTCTGAAACATTATAATTGATTGAAAATAGCTTTTACACTTTCGTCCTTTTTTATTCAAATATTGGTACAATTTTTCAGTCATTATATTTGATTGAACTTTCTTCCTGTATATTCAAACTTGAATACCACCCGCACCCAGAATCAGTTTTTCGGTATGGTATAAGTATGGTTGCTTTACAATTCTTTGTATCAAATTAATGTACTGTATTGCGTTTTTTTTTGTGACGCCTCTGGGGCGGAGGCATTATCGTTTCCCAAACGTGTACCTTTCTCCACACCAGGAGATCACCGCGCTGTCCGGGATTAACCGCCGGCTGAAGGGCGATAACGAGGCTCTGAGGAAGCGGTGTCACACCGACGAAATCCACTGCAGCTCCGGCCTCATGGACATGCGCAGTCACTACGAGAAGGTCGTCAGGAACACCAAAAAGGACCTGGAGGCGTACTACATGGAGAGGGTAGGTACGGAAAGAAATGAAAAGAAAAAAGAAAAGAAAAGAAAAGAAAAAAGAAAAGAAAAGAAAAGAAAAAAGGAAAAGAGAGGAAAGGAAAAAGGAAAGATAAATATTTACAGGTAGCTCATACTACTAGACATATCCAACAATTGCAGCTTCTTGTGTTTGAAACTAAACTGTTTTCTGTTCAATAATGGTGTTTGCAGGATTTTTATATCGATACAATTGTCTCCAAGAGAGTTACAAAGTCATAAGTTATTCACCTCTACCTTACACTGCAGATCAGACGTGTTACGGACGAAGCCAAGCGGCACGCGGTAGAGCTGGGGAGGGTCACGGCCGACTGGAGGGAGCTGTCCGAGCAAATCAGGAGTCTGCAGAAGGAAAACGACCGACTACGGAGAATGGTTGGTGTTGTCTTAACCACTGTAGATATCTTCCATTTTTACCGTATCTTCTTCTTCTTCCGATAATACTAGTACCCATCTGCCATAGCCTGAGTGTCAGCCTATGTAGCTTTCGTCCGCTCCCCACGATGCGGTACCGGCCAAAACTGGCATATTGGGGGAAATTAAAGTTGCGTAAAATGCCTTTCCCAAGGGCACACCGCTCCCGGGGCATGTAGGTATAGTTTGGTTCGATTTCTTTTTGATGACTGATTCCTATACATGATCATGAGCAAAGGAAAATGTGAAACATGCAGCTTTGATGTAGTACATGTACTAGTATTTGATAGAACGACTTTATTTGGTCTACCGCTGTCGATGATAAGAAGCCCCGTCAACTGTTCAGTGGTTGCTCATTTCTAATTCTTTCTCTCCTCTGTCAGGCTGGATTCAAAGAGCCCTCGGGATCTTCCTCATCATCAACAACAACAACAACCAAGACAACAAAGTCTCCCACTAAAACCGTCACCTTCAGCAATGGTCCTCTTGAGTCCAAATCAAGCACAAGGGCGACCAAGGTCACGCTGAAATACGTCGATGCTCCCTCGACGTCTTCAAGTTCTGACGCTGAGGACGAACCTCAGATGGCGTCAGTACGTGCTAAGGGCAAGATTAGCTCTAACGTGAAAATCTCTAAAACTAGTGATGTGTAAATTACGTCAAGGTGTTGTCCATGATGCGCCTTTGATAGCATATATTTTTCAGTACCCTGCAATTGGTTCCGGATGTTACCGATTAGTTAGTAGGTGCTAGTAGCCTGGAATCCTAGAATTCTCAGTGGCATGGGGGGCACAGCGTAGCTCGAGCTCTTCGGCTCTGGGGCCAACGTGACTCCGAGGAAAGTTTGTTTCAGCCCCCTGATAAGATGTTTTTGGGAAACCATCACTGTGTGGGTTTCGTTGGCCAAGTAGCCTGGTGTCCAGTCTATCGTCCTATCACTTTGCAGGAGGTGGCATACATTCTGCTGAACTCTATTGTTGAAGTGACTGTTGGTAACCCAAGTTAGACGAATCTCATTGTCATGGGAGGATGGCGCTGGCGAATTCGGTGCTATATTTCTGTTTCGCAAAGTCTGTGAAAGATTTCACTTCATTAAGTTTTATACCAAAGGTCGTGGATAGGGTATAGGTTGTGTCAACTTGTCTGGGCTCATGGTCGGGTAAGAAGGAAGACACAAAGTGTTTGTATAAATATAATTCATGGGTGCAGTTGTTGTCAATGTCATATTTATTGAAATAATTCCTATCTTAATTTATAAGTATCATTTTATTACCATTGGAATAAATGCTATTTATTGAAAGGTCTACCTCTGTGTCGTATTTTATTTCAATACGTTCACATTGTCTGATTACGACGAAGAAGGTTAGAAATCCAGATAATGAAATACACAAATTGTTACTCAAGCAACTGGATAGATTTCATCAGAATCAGTCCAGGGAAATTCCCGGCAGTTACCACTATGAAGTTATAGCACTTTCCCAATAATTATGCAAATTAGGTCTTCATTAACATGATCTATATCTGCCAATGTTTCGTTCTCAATTACATGTCACAAGTGTTGCAAGTACATGTAGTCCTATTGTGGAACACAGCAGTTTTATAGGAATTCTTAATCAATTCTGATAATTAGCTCCTGATTTGCATAATTGTCATTTAATTCTCAAGGGAAAGGAAGGAATTCGCATGGAGGATCTATTCACACTAGCAAGTAACCCCTATGCCACAAGGGGCCATCATCTCAAATTGGAAATGCCACTTGCTAAGTTGAATATCAGGAAAAAATTCTTCAGTGTCAGAGTGATCCAGGAATGGAACAAGTTACCACTGGAGACGGTGAAGCAGACGTCAGTAAACAGATTCAAGAGTAGCATCGACGAATACATACGGAAGAAGATGACCATAGGAGCTACTAAGGGCTACCCGCCTTCTGGCTCCTGATTTGCAGAGACGTAGTCTCTGCAGTTCAGGTAAATTCAGTTCAGGTAAATTCAGGTAATTATGCCAAGCATCGCTTGACAATCTGTGAACCAGCTAGCAAATCTGACAGTTTGCAACAAATGGTGTTGAAATCGCCATGGATAAAAAACGCCTCGTAGCGGCGAAAAAATTACTGCAATGATAGGAGTAAGTTACCCAACATTTAACTTAAAAAAGAACAATTTCTTTGACTATCTTACTCTTCCAGACTGCAAAATCCTGCTTAGACTGTATTTCTGATACATATTTTCTCGGTCAAATTCTTTCCTTAGAAACTCGTCCATCTTTATTGCCATTAATTGCTAATGTAGGGAAACACGTAACAAATCTGACAATTTGAAACACTCTGAAGCCTGAACCGTTGTAAAATCGCCATGGATCAAAAACGCCCCGTAGCGGCGAAAAGAAATCACTGAAGCTTCATTATGATGCAGTCCTCTATCGAACTGCTAAAGGCCGCTTTTGATCCATGCACTTCACCGTCATAACTTGTAAACAGTAACTCCATAACCTGATATCCTATTTTGGATTGGATGGACTCTCTTCCATGTCTTCGGGGGAGTTTTGCGCGGTTGGAGTTACATTCGTTTTTCTTTTTCTTTAAAATTGAATTTGTTTTCGTAATCAGACTAGCAGCACCACATTAATTAGACAAGGCCGTTCTGCACACCTGAGCAAAAACTCATTTGGCATGGTCCCTTCAAAATGGTGGTTTGGTACGACGAGAATTCTCTGGGGTGTTAGTTTTGTGTAACTTTCAGGGTACCTTCTAGAGTTTTTATCGGAGGAATGTCTTTCTAAAGTGCGCAGTAGAATGTTGGGAACTTTTCGCGGTAGAATAAAAAAAATGCCGTTCTCGTGATGTTTTGACGAAAATGCGGAAGTTCCCGGATCTGGTACATTTTCGAGAAGATAAGAAAGAAGAAAATGGCGAGGTTGTTGGGAGCATGCAACGGGATCCATGAAAAGTCTATGATAGCCTCATCAGTTCAGGGTTCAGACATAAGTTGTTGTCATCTGCTCGGTAATATTGTCTCCGAAGGTGACATATCATCATATCTATGAATATTATAGAAACATATATGTCACATATGAAAGCTGTTGTCGCTGCCTCTCTTGGGGCCAGCTATTCAGACACCGCGGATCATCTCCACCAAACTTTGGAAGCATGTCAGAGGAATAGTAGGCCATAGGGTTGCCAACACGCCTCTGGCGTATCAGTCACCCTATTTGGCCAATTTTAGGAGTCTGGTAGAGGCCAGTCCTGGTAGAGACTAATGAGAGGGGGTGCTGATGGGTTTTAGGTACAGATAAAACCCTCCCGTCTGATCAGTATGGCCCCTATTCGCACCATAGCATCACGTCACTGCAACATAAGCATGTGTTCACGTGTATATAAAGGATATAGTTTAGAGTTTATAGTTTCCCGTACAGTCGGGAAATAAAAACCCCATCGCCTTTTAAATTCAACTCGTGAAATTAAAATCTTTGGCCTTTCAGGATTTGAAAATCCTTAAGAATTTAATTAAAATCCTGAAAACAATTCATCATCATCATCATCTGAAAACAATCTAATTTATCTGATTTGAATCCTTAAAAAGCGAGGGCCTTTGATTCTCTAGCCTGGATGCCAGACCCAAAGCACACTGGACACAAAATATCTCAGTGTGCACACTGAGATATTTTGTGTCCAGTGTGCTTTGGGTCTGGCATATCATCCAGGCTATTGATTCTCTGAAGGATTTAAAAATCCTTCAGATCGCGTGATGAGTAACTCCTCCACGTGCCTGAGAATACTGTAGTACACGGAGGTATCATACCGGTGATAGATCAAAGATGTTTCTAGTTGTTGTTGGCGGTTGAGTTTGTTAGCGATTATTGATTGATAAAAGAGTTCATTGGAAGTATCAGTCCGAAGTATCAGAGCCAGTCTGCATCCGGAGTCTTTACGTGTGCACATTTCATTCCGGGTACGTGCCGTGCGGAGCTTGGATAGAGAATAATTGATTCCCGGCGGGAGATGTTATTATTAAGTGGGAGGATGTTATGATCTTCACCAAGGTTCGCCGCTCACAGGAAGCTAAAACATTCTGTACCCAGGAAATATCACCTTGGCCTTGGCTGAACGGGGGAGTGTGAGCTCCACGGTATGTAAGTAATTTGTACACACTCAGGGGTATTACAGACCAGACAGCGCCGGGATAGCATTGATCTGGGGGCGGGTCAAGTTTGGTGCAGCGTTAGGGACAGTCCGTGGAGGATGGGGGATGGTAATGCCATTCCAATATTTGTTAGCCCAGACTCATAACACTCTAGGCCCAGAGTTAGCCTAACTGAGGGGGGCTGTGGTATCCTTTGGTGCATGCTGGCCATGGAGCCGAGAAATTCACCTGTGTGTAGGCCATGGAAACAGTCTGTCACCCAGGCTACTAAAACATGTGTCGGGTCATCAGTCTATGCAAAACAGGCTATGCAAATGTCATCTTCTGTGAACCTTCTGTGTGCCACTTTTTGAGCGTGCCAAGTTCCTTGTCAAACTTATTTTTTTGTGTGTGGCAATAATCACAAACACTTCGGATCCAGTAACGTTGTTCGTTTTTATTGATCAGTATTAGAAAAGATTTAATCACCAATTCCTTTCAGTCTCACCAAGGAGGTTAAACATCAATAACTTCCTTGGTCAGACGGAGGGCAGGCGAAACAAGGGAATGCACTTCGGTTGCCCAACATCAACCTTGACCTTAATCTTATCAAAACCCGCCCATATACACCAAATATCATCACAATCCATCCATGGCTTCTTTAGTCACTCATCTCAAAACAATGTTATGAGTAGGCAGGCGATCAATAATTCTGGACTAATGTTTCAAAGATGATTACTGTGTTTTTTAGCAAAGCAGTTTTTTTCTAGAAATTCATACCGGTCAAGCGTTTTGATGGTTCTTTTTCGACAGTAGCTGTTGCTGTGTACAATTTCCCCCTTTTTGTGGGTGAGGGCTTTAGTAAGTGGCCGCCTGGCTAGTTCCACGGTACCGCGGTACGAATGGCATCCCTTGTGCTTGTCTTGTTCAAAGCTATGCGTCCCACAAGAACTAGCCCTGCGATCTGTGAATCAAATGTATCTGTATCTGTAGATTGACTGATGAACTTACCTCATTGCCCTGTATCCCTATTGACATCATATTTTATCACGTTGTACTTTTTTGAAGAGGGTCAAAGTGCCCCGCTGCAGGACCCTTGTCCGGGTCTAGGGGCACTTCTGGCTACTTCATCAACCGCTCGGGCGATACCACTTTCAGGGGTTGTCACAGGAGGGGTTCAAATTTTACGTTCTTCCCAGATATGGGCATTCCGGATTTAGATGAAAACCCCCTTCCTTGTTTCTATCAATAGATATTTGTGGAGCCTGTGGATGTAAAATAGTACCGCGTGTGGACACATGTGGGCGACTCACATCCGTATCTCGGAATGTTGAGTAAAGCCCCGTGGGAGAGTCCATTTTTCTCCAGTGGTGACGCCAGAGGTTGCGGTGTGACACTTGTCAGGATTCAACACTGGGGTCATCTGTGGTGTCTGCTAGCTGGTAGTGTGGCTCTGCGCTAGCTAGGCTGACGGGTATTTACAGAGGGGGAAGTTTGTGTGTGATCTTGGTGATCTTCGTTCTCACATCTTCAGT